GACTCTTTCTCTTTAAGCACTAGACATCATGATTTTCTTTCATCTTAACTTACAGAGCTATTACAAATGATTTTTCGTAATGTAAGGACTGATTCAGTTCACTTTATTAGAACGTACTGTAAGGTACTGTGTTCGCTGTGTCCCCACAAATTAGCTAATTTCATAGCAACTCAGCCACCAAAAGATGGCTTTGATCTTTAATGGTCTGAGGCGTTGTCAACTGACAAAACGCTGCAACAGGAGCCAAGCACAGCCAACACTCTTCCTCCTCTACTTGTTGACTTTGTGAAGGACTCAGTCCTTGTCTATGACGTCTGTGATTCTTGACAAGACACATCAAAATCTGAACTCACATCTCAGGTTGTTCCAATGGCCTTTTGTAGTCATGTTACTGAAACATGGTCTGATGAGAATTGGCAGGAGGGCCTTCAGCTGATTTCTCCATTCCCTTAGTAATTCCCTTAGCCTGAATAGCTGGAGGAGTATTCACAAGTCCCAATCTGGAAATACGCATATGATTCATTTCCTGGATAAGGCAAGTTAATGGGATCAGCAGAGCCCACGAGGCAAAGGATTTGTCCAGTTGGCCCCTGGGTCAGGCCTGGGAATAGATTTTTTACAATCTCCATGATCATGTATGTAGGAGCACAGGGAAACGAGAAGACATTAGGGTATCTGTCTGGTGGCCTATAGTCCTGCTAACCTGTATTTTTTTCAGGCTGAAACGATCAGTTATTTCAACAAATTTATTGATTCCACGTAGAACCCCAAACTAGGGTACTTTGAATATACCAGGTAGAAAGAAACAGAATTTACAGTCCCTGCCCCGGAGCCAAAATACAGGACACTGTGTCCCCACAAATTAGCTAATTTCATAGCAACAAATTTATTGATTCCACTTCTGAAATAAGAGCACTTGCAAAGGAAAGAAACATGAAGGCAACTCCATGTCACACACACTTCTTAAATGTTGAGAATTAGAAAAAGGAGTAATTGGCATCTATCCTCTTGACCTCTAATCACTAATTTGTCTTTCTTTTCCAGTGGTCTTAAGCTAGGCATGATCCATATGATATTGGACTTTGTATTCCCAGCGCCTATTAAAATAACTGACAAAGAGCAGACACTCCACAAATGTTAATGAAACACTTGGTGAATGGTTTTAGGAAGGTGGGGTTAATCAAAGAATCATCCTACAAGTGGCATTTTAAAACAATAAACGTTTTTTTCTGAAGGTAAAAGTAATATATGCTCATAATAAAAAATTCAGAAAGTATTAAAGAAAATATAAATGGGGGCTCCTGGGTGGCTCAGTTGGTTAAGCGACTGCCTTCGGCTGGGGTCATGATCCTGGAGTCCTGGGATCGAGTCCCGCATCAGGCTCTCCGCTCAGCGGGAAGCCTGCTTCTCCCTCT